TCATGAAAGAAAATACTTTTTTCGAAATTATCAATTTGACATTCAATCTGACGGTAATTTAATGATTTCCCATAAGACACTTATGATTTAAGATAGTCATATTATGATTCCAGGAAGATAATCGACAGTCGTAATTGCTGTTGACGAGAAATCTAAATAAAAACATCCCCGTATTGTCCCACTACCCTAATTATTTATTCACGATATTAGAAATTCGAAAAATCTTCAATCATAAAATTTTTGATGATTTAAATGGTGCTTTTAGTTTAAATGGAGAAATATGAAATGTCTCTTTAAGTTAGAGATTCCCGTGTGTTCGAGAGGGTGACACATTTTTAATGGCTTCGGGAATTCGAACGATGGATGATGGCCGAAGTAATCCAATAAATGGAGAACTACTATGGATGACCAGATATATGCGCACAACCTGATATCAACCGATTGTACCTCGGATTGTATTGTAGCTGTGATATAATGTGGGCTGCTGACAAGACTGATTATTTCGATGCCTCGCATTCGCTGGAATGTGATTTTTCTCATTTCAAAGAATTGGTACATATATAGCAATCGTTCCAATTCCGATCAATCCTCGGTGATCGAGGTTGACTTCTCCATAGACTTGAGCTGAGAAAAAAATTCCTTTTGCCAAATATATCTACTTGTCATCAGTAAATCTACTAATCACTGTGTAAATACTTTGATAAAATACGCTAATGCCAAATATAGTTTGTATCTAGTACATATCGTTGAGAGAGAATTTTCTTTCAGTGTTATTCCGCCACCATTTTTCAGGTAGATGATTGGAAAATCTCTTATCGACCACTTAGAACAAAAGGTAAAATATTATTGCAGCCGGCGGTATTCAGATTTTAACGGCAGTTCCGTGTATCTGTAACCACGCGGGGAAAAAAATTCATGGAGAAGTGAGAAGAATTGTTTTTTTTAATTATTATATTTCCATCAATAAGAAAGAGAATGTAGTTTTTCGGAGAAGTTATCAGGAACTCCGGGAAACGCACTAGACGTTACGGTACCACTCACAAAAATAAAGATACCACGTATGAATTCTTACACGGAATCACCTTTTCAGTGTCTTCCTCTTCCGTTTGTTGCTTTCGAAACATTCTGCGTTGGTGAGAAGGTACCCTCCTTCAACAAGAAATTTCGTTGTCCACGTATATTTAAATTGGAAGAGCACCCGATGCATAATCAGGAGGTCCCGGGTTCAAATCCCGGTGTTGATTATCCATTTTTTAAATGAATTTTTGTCAGACTCATGTACATTGCTTCAGTTCATCGTGATCTTCATCACAAATTAAATTTTTTTGATTAATTTTCTTGTATCTTATCTGTTTCAGACGGGGGCTATTTGTCTTAGGTTAGGATGTCACACCACAGCGACGATAATATGTTAATAGCTACCTCAGATTCCTTTTGGGAACCAGGCAATTACAAACGGACAACCAAGAGAATCGAAGATGGCCACAAGCTCTGTGACAGTCTCATTGCTCTCGTTCAGGAGAGAGCAGAGATTGAGAAAAATTATGCCAAGGCACTCAAGAGTTGGTCTAAATCGTGGAATGAGAAGATTGAAAAGGGCCCGGAGTACGGGACTACCGAAGCCGCGTGGAAAGGCTCTCTTGTTGAGTCTGACAGATTGTGCGATCTTCATCTCAAAGTGAAGGAGAATCTTTGTGATGATATTATACAGCAGGTCAAAACATGGCAGAAAGATGCATACCACAAGGTGATTATTCTGCAGTTCCTCAATTAATACAATTTTTTTTTAATTAACTACACCGAGAAAAAAATTAGTGAAAAATTCCGTGAGAGTTCCAGAATTGTATGTACTTGCAATTCGGTCAATTACGGAGCTCTCACGTAATTTTTCATACTTTTTTTTTTCTCTGGACACTCTAGAGTCTAGACACTAGTAGAAATTTTAATATGTCACTGATCAGGCCCTAGCCCATCAATTCTCTGATAAAAGGTCTGCCTGAAAAAATATCTATGCAGATCTCTCACATTCGGTGCAAGTGCACGGAGAGAAAAATTCAGGAAAAATTATCTAACCGTTTGATAATCGTCTCGGGTTTTAGCCGTTGGGAGAATTAACGTATGGTTTAGGAAAATTTATCAACTGCTCAGTAACTGTTATTTAGCCATCCGAGAAAAAATTATTTAACTCTTTTACGTACATTTTCTCA